TGTGGAGGGCCCACCAACGGATCACAGGCGGCAGTGGGCCTCGTTCCAGTAAAGCCATAAGCTAGGTCTCTCCTAGCACGTAGGATACGGACCAGCAGGTCCGCGCAGTGAGTGCACTCCGAGTCAGCAAAGGCTGCCTCAGCGTGGGCCAAGCCCAGGCAAACGACGCAGTGCTGATGGGTCTCTGGCGGGCTTATGGGGCCCGCACAACCCTGCAGTAAGTGCTTGTTTCCATTTCGGCTTTAGGAAATTCACGTGAATAGATCAGCAAAAGTGAAAGAGAAGATTCTGACGCAATTTCCGCTCTCGCCGCATTTATACTGCCCACCAAGCCTGTCAGTATTTGCATGCCATTTGCATAGATGAGCGTCAATTGGCCAGGTTATTAAACTGGCGTTATGCTATAAGACTTCAGAAGGGGAGAAATTCCCACATGCGATTCTCGCAATATAGAGTGAACGCTCAATAGGGAACTCTATCCATGCATGATGTTGTGGCAGAAATAGTTGAATGTTATTACATTATTCATTTTAGGGTTTGTACAACTTTTTGAGAGAGAAATTCATGCACTTTTCAGTGACTTTCAAGTATTTCACACAACTATTTCAAGCACATTAAAGCTCTAAAACTGATCCAGTTTAAATGTTATTTTTAATGGGATGACCAAAATATACTTTGTGGTAAACAATAGGGCTGGGACAATAAATCGATGCATCGCGAATCGAGAAATTATTCTGCATCCTTTCTGCGATTTTCCGAACGCATCGCGATTCTCTCTTGAATCGATTCTGAGCTTAGTTTTTAACCGCAGATGGCTCTGCGCGCTTTAGAAATAGCCGTATTCTGCTTGCTTCCAGTTCCTTACACACACACCATTTGAACCTAAAATAATAATTCATAACGTTCGAAAAGGTTGAAGCCAATTACAAGGATGTTCACAGTGGGCTGTGTTTACATTAATCTCGCATCATAAAAGCATAAAAGCCGATGTGCAAGTACATTTAACCACTTACATTACTCAGCCGCATACACAAGCGCTCTTCTTCGTGAGCATTTGAGTGTGTGGTTAAAAACTAGCCTAGAGCGCCATCTGCTGTTAAAAACTAAGCTCAGAATCAATTCGAGAGAGAGTCACGATGCATTCTGAAAATCTCAGAATCGATCCACGAATCGCAATGCATTGATTTATTGTCCCAGCCCTAGTAAACAAACATTTATTAAAATTAAAAAACATAAAATTATCACTATAACCAGTAGATGGCAGCAAAGGAGCACTTATTGGCTTTTTAGTCATTCATTTCTACTTTTTGCTTTATATTTTGAAATTATAAAATCACTATTATAAAATATCAGATCATCAAAAAAAATCACATTTTTTCAGAGTTTTGCACTTTTTGTGTATGAAATAAGAAAAGTCACAAAGTACCTTGAAAAACAAACTTTTTTTCAATTTGTGGCTGAATCAAATCAGGAGCGTTCCTTTTAGAATCACTGAAGTTGTCGGTCAGTTCTGTATAATACTGTAGAAGAATAATGGTACATTTAATAAGAGTTTTGCACGCTACTGTTGTTAATAAAAGTCAATTTTGTATGCTTGTATACTGTCAAGATGTGCATTACCAAGAAATAAACGTGTAATATTATTAGTAACTGCACTTAATGCAAAACAATAGTAATGTTATGATTAAATTATTTTTCTTTTTAATACCCCCACACACTATCCCCCAGTGCTACCAAACCTGCTCCTGGCGCCACCATCTGTAGAACTTAGTGGCACTGGTGCCACTGCTCTCAAATGCTAGTCTGAAGCCCTGATTTGCATTGTTTGCCCAGGTACCAAGATCTTCATTTAGGAAGTCCTGACGGAGATCGAGAATAACAAAGTTGCGAGTATTCTGCCACTTTCGTGACATGTTGCCCAGTATGGTAACCCATACTCAGAATGTGTGCTTTGCATTTAACCCACCCAAGTGCACACACACAGCAGTGAGTAGTGAACACACACCCGGAACAGTGGGCAGCCATTTGCTACAGTGCCCGGGGAGCAACTCAAGGACTCAAGTGCTCAAGGACCTGTTGTGGTTACTGAAAGTGGAAGAGAGCGCTGTATATTCACTCTTGACTCTCTAACCATTAGGCCACAACTGCCCCTACTTCTAGTGGAGAAACAAAAGGGGCAGTTGTGGCCTAATGGTTAGAGAGTCATCTGATATCAGAAACAGTCAAAAGTTTATCAGTGAACAAAACCTTTGCTAATATTACCAGTCAGATCTTGAAGTACCTGTTGATAAAAAGATCCATTCTTTGAGCACACCCTAAATGACAAATTATCTGTATGGTATTTTGCATACATTACATACTTCTAGGGGAGAAACAAATGAGGGGGTGTATACTGTATGATTTTGAGATCCATCTTTGATTTTGAGGACAACTGAGGGACTTAGATGCAACTATTACAAAGAGTTCAAACAGTCACTGACGCACCAGAAGGAAAAATTATGTATTAAGAGCCTGGAGGTAAAAACTTTCAGGGTAAATTGAACTTATTTTTCTTCTGGGAAACATGTAAGTATCGTCTGTAGCTTCTGAAGGGCAGTACGAAATGAAAAAAAATATAATAATTTTTGGCAAAATAAAAATTTACACACCTGGCTCTTAATGCATTGCTTTTCCTTCTGGAGCATAAGTGAGGGTTTAGGGATTTAAAAAAAACAAGAACATTCCAAGTAAATATAAATCACATTGCAGGGCACAGTGCAAGGAGGTTCCATTGTCTCTTAATATATAAGAAAACAAAAATATTGTTTTTTATATTATTATAGTTATGTCCTGTATACAGTTGATTGATCTAAGCAGGAAAAGGGGGGGAAAAGTACTTAAAAAAGGGAAAGATAAAGAATATTTTGCATTTAATTGAAAATATATTAATGAAGTCTTATAAGGTCTTTTAAAAAGGGAAATTAGAATTAATTATCTAGATACAAATGATCGTGCTTTTCTTTACATTGCTATTATTTACAAGACTGTCCGTTTCCTTCTGTGTTAATGGCAATTTCTCGTGTCATTTAGGAGGATTAACGTGGGTTCACAGTTTCAAGCAGAGATCCCCCCAGTGCGGGACACACTGTACATGCTGTATGAAGAGCACCCTGCTCAACTCGTCTGGACTCCTTGGAAAGATCTCTCTACCAACACAGAAACACAACAGAGGGGTAAACACACCAACACAGACTCTCACTCTCACATTGTAGCAGAAGGGGTCTCGTAGTATCACCTGCCAGGGATTAAAAAAAAAATACAGCAGTGAACAATTACGGTTTGAATAAATTAAATGTATTACATCCTCTTTTTTTATATACGTAAAGTCAAAAGTCATTTTTCAAGCATGTATAAAGGGTAAAAAATGATTACATTTAGTCCTTTTTGTGTTTCAGTCACAGAGCTGTTAGACGTGCTGTTCCAGTGTGCTACCAGGAGGAGGCACCAACATCGAATTCGCTCTCAACTGCCTTCATGAAGTTCAAGGAAGCATAATGGTGAGTTTATTCATCATACTGAGAGTGTTATTTATAGATGTTTGTTTAATACAGCTGTTATTCAACTGTCAGGCAGCACTGGATTTACTCTTATAGCGAGAAGATTTTCGGACCTCCTGGCACCCTCTGAATAATTACCACTACACAGGTACTAACTATTTATATCAAAATATATAAAGCATTCATAAGTCCTTCATAAACTTGATGTCGCTCATTGTATTTGGCAGGGTCAGACCACTGGACAGTGCAAGAGATTAAAGTGTTCAAGAAAGCTCTGGTTGACCACGACAAGGACTTTCAACAGATTCATAATGTGGTAAGAAAGTTCATAAAAAGAAGTTGTTTTTTTACTTGAAAAAAGGTCTGTGGTTATTACAAGCTAACAACATTGAGTCTCTAAATATGCTAAGTTTATTTTGTAGTTGCAGACAAAATCAATAGCCCAGTGTGTGGAGTATTACTATAACATGAAGAAGCTGAAAAAGTTCAAGCAATGTGTCCGAGCCACAAATAAAAAGGATGAAGGTGGAGGGAACTCTGTAAGATTAATTTCAGTAAATGGACACAAGATCTGCATATACATCATCTAAAAACATTACTGCTATTTTCCTAAAGGCATTCAGATGCTCACAAGAGCACCAGCCTGAGCAGATAAACGGGAACACAGGACAGAAGACAACAGCTGCTCAGAGTGAGGTGTGTGCCAGGTTAGAGCACACTCCTGATTTACATGCCTTCAAATACATGGAGTAATACAATGAGAAAATATTTCATTCTGTGAAATTAAGCTAAAATAATAGATTTATGACTCTATCCTGTCACTCTTAGTCTTAATTTAGCAAATTTTAATTAATTATTAGCAAATTTGAAAATGACACATTCAAATTAATTTTACCTTTAAATCCAACAGAGATGTGAAGAGCCACAGTTCGCCCTCAGTCAGGATAGAAACTATCTCCAGATGGCAGTGGACAAGCAAGGACACAGGTCAAAGCAGAAGGCTAAAGTGAACTGAATTCCAATCAGTATTTCATAAAAGATCCTTTGTAAGAGCTCAAGTGTGTTTTAGACTACAGTAAATATTCAACTCATTGTCCAGCGATTAATATGGACCGTGAAATTAGCCGTAATTGTAATCCAAAATAAAGTTCTCATCAAAAGAATAGCCAACTTTGTGGATTTTTTTATTCTTTCAACTGTTTATTTCTTGTTCAAATTTTGAGTTACTTGTTCAAGTTAATAACAGTTTGAAGTTTTTAGAATGTACCAGACAGGTTAATTTAATATGACAGGGTTTCATAAAAAAAAGGTTTCTTGGTTTTTATTTGTTCAACTGTTTGAGACATTTAGTTTGGGTTCAAAATTTTCTCTCAAGATTTGTCATTACCAGTTTTACAGTTCTACTGATTTTCCTCTTTTCCATTTTATATTATCTATTCTACAATCCATGTGATCTATAATAAAGTTATTAAATGGCAGTTTTACTATCTTATGCCATTAAAACAGCCGATGATGTCCATGTATAACAATGTCAATGCATAACATGTTTGCTGTTTATTATATTACCATAAGGTGTTTGGCTGTCTAAGCATTCCTTTGCTGTTCTAATAGAACAAATGTTTTACTAGTATTGTTAAACTTGTTTACAAAATAAATGAGAACTGAAAAACACAATTTTGCATTGGTAATTCTCCAGAAGACTCCAGAATATTTCATAGAACACTTTAATCTGAACATGCTACTAATAGAATACATTGTAAATTCTACTGTTGCAAGTATAAAAAAGATAACTAACACCTCATTTGAATGTACATATCCCCCATAAATATAAAGGAGGAAGCTATACTGTTGAAATGCATGCATGAGTTTGACAATGCATTCCATGTAAAGCCTACACTACCACTAACATGACAATACTATCGTAACAGTAACAGTATATGCAGATTTAATCAATAATGCAACACTTACTTTATGGCCCGGAATTTGATTGACCAAATTAGATTTTTCAGTGTTCCAGAACAGAGTATGCAAACTGTGCAGAGATAAGGTTGACCTGATGTCTGCACAGCAGTGATTACCTATGACCAAATCACAGCCGTGCTGATATTCAGAACAGCAGCATGATTGCTCATATTGCATAAATATGTAATGCTTTAGAGACATGTTAAGAATGTAGTAAAACAGATTTAGGCAAAATTTAGTAAAACTATCTACATTAGTCACAAAGACAATGACTAAACAAATCCTCAGACCTCTTAGAGACCAAATACTATATTAAACAATAGTGTCACAAATTCCTTGTAAAAGGAATGTTATTTCAAAACTTATTTACATAGCAGTATAACTATTTATCTTTTCTCGTAATCCTTGCGTCTAAAACCTGTTGATTATGAGTCATCAGATAACTAGGTAATTAAAGGAGCTTATTGTGGGATGTGACAACTGTTCAAAGGCAACCCTTAATATTTACATATATATTTTTTAAAAATCTTAAAGGGATAGTCCACCCAAAAATGAAAATTCTGTTACCATTTACTCACCCTCGAGTTGTTCCAAACCTGTATGAAAATAAACTTCTGATGAAAATAAAAGATTTTGAAGAACGTGGTTAACCAAACAGTTGATGTCCCCATTGACTTCCATAGTATTTTTCCATAGGATGAGTAAATTGAAGGTAAATGATGACAGAATTTAAATTTTTGGTTGAACTATCCCTTTAACATGACTTTGTGCATATGTACATAAACAGTGATCATGAGTCTTCTTCAGACACACGAACCTTACTTTCATAGGATACTAGAGTCTGGTAAAGACTTTCTCTGCTTTGGTTTCCACTGACACTGTTCCATTGCTCAATTTCACGTGTGGAGGAGCCACCTTTCAGCTGATCCACATAGTCAGTGTTCTGATGGAGAAACAAAATGTGGTCAAGGTGTTTAGACCCCAATGTAGCCCTTCTTTGGGTCACCGAGGACTCCCTAGGGGCAAATGTCCGATCAGCAGAAACAGCAGTTGCAGGTATGGACAGGTATTTTCGTGCCAGTCTGGCCACAGCAGGAAAGCGATGCTCCTTGTTGCGCCACCATTGCAGGGGTGAGAGGCTGCGTTTGCAAAGTGGCTCTGCTATGTAATTCTCCAGCTGCTGGTGAATCTCGGGCATTCGCTCAGTAGGATCCTCGCCCAGAAGAATATCATACATGCTCTGCGGGAGAGGACTCATCTGTATACGAGGCTTGAGCTGTAAATCTCCTCTCAGGGGTGAGGTCATACTGGTCCCACTAGAAAGTTTTTTGGGGTCGTTGGCATTCTTGAAAGGCGATCCAAGCGTGTTTTCATTGACTTGTTCTGGAGATGATATGGCAACAGAGGGCTCGCTTGGCTGCAGCTCAACGCTGTCACCTTCCTCCACTGATCCGCACGATTCAGGAGAATCCAAAGAAGCCATTGCAGGAATTGGCAAGGAATCATCCAATCCAATATCTGCAGGTTCTCCACGCTCATCCACAGTCTCTTCCATTTCCATGCTTTGTCTCCTTTCTGCATTCATTTGTTCGTCGCTCGTGAAAGCCTGAACAGAAAGCAGCTCTTTCACCTTGTCGTGCAACTTGCTGCGGGCATGTGGGCTGAGAAACCGCAACTCTTTAAAACGCGGGTCCAGAAATGAGGACAATACGGCGGAGGAATCCAGAAGAGCATCTTCATCACTCAGACTCCACCGTTTGTCCATACCAGCACGAATTCTCTCCATAACTCCCTTCACCTCTGGACAGGTACACTCTGCAATTTTCTGTCCCAGGAGCCGAGACACTCCTTGTAGGCACGGCATTAATGCTGAAATGGGTCCGTTGATGTCCTCGCTTAAAAACGATGCCGCAATGCGAACCGTTTTGAGCACAGGAACTAGTTCGTGTATAAGACGCCACTGGTGATCTGCCAGATTTGTTGCTACTTTTTGCTCCTCTAGGACAGAACTTATTACCCACTTGAGCTCCAGCAGACTCTCACACATCTCAATGGCAGTGGTCCACCGCCCTGGGTCATTCAAGACAAGGCATGTGGACTCTTTATTAACAGCCTCTGCTTTCTGGCTCAGTGCCGTAGAAGCGTTCACATTGTGCTGGAAATGTAAGACAATGGCACGGGCATCTGCCAGAGCTTGTCTGACAGTCTCCACACAAAGTCCCTCCTGGACACAAAGTTTCAGGGCCTGCCCTGCACAAAGCAGAAGTGCCCATCCCTCGGGAAGATTACTGGGAGGAGGATGGCTGGGTCCAGCAAATTCTTGCTGATATTCCTGATTAATGGCCATATTCTCCTGCCCCCTGGTCTCGGATCCACTGGGGGTGTCATGCACGACACAGAAAACAAAGTTCTTTGGGAGCTGGAACTCGGAGAGGACTGCTCTCAAAGTGTCTGCAAAGCTCGCTTGCCCTCTCTCAGATGGGCTTCCTTTGAATTCTACTATTGGTCGGGTCTCAAGCACGCAACGTGCCAGGCGCCAGTGAGAGTCTACAAAATGCGTGCTGACTGTAAGGTAGTACTGACCGTCCCCATCAACCCCACATCCATCAACGGATCGCCAATATTCGGTGCAGAGGGTCAGACAGTGAGAAGCTAGACTTGTCTGTAGATGCTGCTGAAGGCATTGCTTGAGGACGTGGTAGCGATGCCAAAGTAGACTGCCAAGCACAGATGGAGAAGGCACGGGGTAGTTAGGCTCTAGGCAACTCAGTAAGAGTTTGAACCCCCTCTCTTCCACCACAGACAACGGCCGAAGGTCTCTGAAGACCATTTCCAAGATAAGATCGGTCAACACCTCTGCTCGCTTGTTGCTGCAGGCTCTTGAGCCGCTGCGGTTGCTGCTGCCTCCAGCAGTGCTGCTCATCTCCCCTGCAGGAAAATTATACATTAGGCAACCCATATCTGTATCTTGGTGCACAATGGCATTTGAACTAGAAGTACTGCTTCCTGCTGCACAGTCAGGGGCGTATGTGGGCCGAGCAGGTTTGGTCTCTGCCATCTCAGCTGGCAGTACTTCTTCCTGTTCCTCTTTGACAGTAACAGGTAGTGCTGGTTGAAATGGAGCATTGCCTGTGGTGTTACATCTGTTACCATGTAAAGAGGTCTGAATGTGAGAATGCAATGCTGCAGGAGTGGGGATGCCTGTTGTGTTGTGAGGGGGTACTGCTCCGTCCCGAATGCTGTGTTTGCGTCCTAAGTGTTCTCTCATGGAAGTAGTGCTGTTGTGAAAGGAAAGCTGTCTCTTACAATGGTTACACTCGACACGATGCAGACTTAACTGAGTGTAGTGGTTCCACACTTTTGATGTGCGGCGATCAGAAAATGGCAAAAAACGCTGCATTCTCCGACGAAAAGTTGGACCGCTGTGAATTCCAGTATGCCTTTGAGGTGGGAGATCCATGTCTGTGGTAAAAAAAAAAAAAAATAAAATATCAGAGCATAAATGGAGGTCTGAATGTGAGAATGCAATGCTGCAGGAGTGGGGATGCCTGTTGTGTTGTGAGGGGGTACTGCTCCGTCCCGAATGCTGTGTTTGCGTCCTAAGTGTTCTCTCATGGAAGTAGTGCTGTTGTGAAAGGAAAGCTGTCTCTTACAATGGTTACACTCGACACGATGCAGACTTAACTGAGTGTAGTGGTTCCACACTTTTGATGTGCGGCGATCAGAAAATGGCAAAAAACGCTGCATTCTCCGACGAAAAGTTGGACCGCTGTGAATTCCAGTATGCCTTTGAGGTGGGAGATCCATGTCTGTGGTAAAAAAAAAATAAAATAAAATATCAGAGCATAAATGTTTTTAATGTATGTCATTTAAGAACAAGAGGATTGAACAGGAACTTATGTAATTATGCAACTAGCATAATTACAGTTACATTTATTTTGTAATGAAAAAGCTATGATAAAATCTTTAATCCTAATCCTTTATGTAATGAATGTCAAGGTTTTTTTTTGTAACAAATAAACATTTTCATAGAAATGGTATGTCATGGTTAGAATGTGGTCCTTGAAACCTTATGTTTCCTGGGAGTCAACAAAATGTCATAAATGTACAGAAATCCCAGTGCTGTATGCAATTCATGTAAATCTAAAGAAATAACATGATCAGGACTGTCTTTTTGTTTATATTCCGACTTAACTGTAAGCCTTTTCTTAATGCTGTGACATACATACAGCTTAAAATATTTTGTCATGAAGTCTCTCACCTCACCTGTCCAAGTCACTGTGCACAAATTAGCACTCGTAACCATTTGGGTGTGTGTGTGTGAGAAATAAAGAGAAACTGTCTTGTGCAGCCATTACAGAGAACTTCTAGCTAGCTAAAATATTATACAAACATTGCAGTTTAGCCTGATTTTGTGTTCACTGTAAAATGTTTTTGTGGCTGCTCAAAAGAAAACCACTTGTACAATGTCTCTTGTACATGTATTTTGTATTTGGTTATATAAAATTAAGATGTTTTTTGCAGCTAAAATATAGCTTTCAAGTTGCAGTTTGTTCTTTTGTTTTTAATCCAAATACTTAAACTTCTAGTCAAACCTTGGTTCCATTAATTGTTTTATCTCAGATGTGGTTGGTTGTAGAACATTGTCACATAACTTAAATACAACCAAAATGCAACACTCCAAAATGCAATAAAAGCGTAGTTGTAAAATAAGGAAAATGTGAATTTAAATACATTTTTATTATTATTATTATTCTGTGACTGGACACTATTTCACAAGCTCATCACCTTTTGGATTGTTTGCCATTTATATTAAAAGGTCCTGCAGCGTGTGAAATTATTTTTAAAATACAAATATTCCATCCATGTAGTATCTTATGTTGTTGTTAATATTATTATGTTAATAAAACTCTTTATATAATAATTATACCAGAACACTGTTGTAAATGTTGAACAAAATAAAGTAAAGCATGTCACACAGCACGACACTTTTTTGTTTTTCGCGGGAACATTTAGAACAAATGATAAGATTTGTATTAAGAGACTGACTCCATGTCAGGTATAACTCTCTCTTGCTCGTTACAAGAGCGCTTAGCCAGAGAACAATAACCATGCAATATGATACTAATGAAACAATTCCGCTATTATTTACATCAAACGTCGCTGGATGTTCTTCCGGGCGAGCATAAAGGCCTTTAAGGTTTTATCCACTTCCAGCTCGTGTGTTACCACCACTAAATACTACACGCTTCCGCAATGCTGACTTTATATAACTTAGCGTCGGAAAATAAATAATACCTTACTAATAACATATAAAAAAGTCTCAGAATTCCTGCACATCCTCCGCGCCTTCGCGACCTACACACTGGATGTGCTTGGCTCGGTGGCCACTAGGGTACGAGGGTAAGTTGTACACAGTCAACAGAAGCGACTAATGTGCATCAGGCGCGTATCATAACTGCTTGACCCTGCTCGTGTAGATATGATATATAAATTGTTACATACTTGTAAATATGTAATTATTAACTGACAACAACTCATAAGTAATAATAAACACCGCAGTTCGTTTCACTGTCATTTTGAAAACACCTATTTTGCGACAACCCCTAAAGTCTTAGGGAATTTACTTCCGATTTCCGCATGATGTGTCAAAACAAATAACTTCATTTCAGGCGATGTGAATGGGATATTGCTTGGATATCGTTCACTGCAGTCTGGCTCACATTTAATCTGCCAAAATGGATTATTCTGGAAAAGAAAAGGAAGCTATGGCCATCATGGCTGAGGCAGACAAGAAAATGAAAACGTCGCATTCGTTATTCGGGTCGTTTTTTGGGTAAATCCATTAATGATGTTTTTTGCACCTCTGCGATATTGAATGTGCACATCGTGCAATTCGTGTGCAACAAGCAATGTCGATATAATTCGAATGAACAAATATAATCGATGAGCAATATTTTTTGAAATTGTATTATTTGTAATACAACGTTGTTCGCATTTAGCTGTCATAAACCTTCCAGAGTTTATTTTTCCAGTACGCAGACTTTGCACAGACGTGAAATCAGCCATTTAGCATCGCAGTGCACGTATAAAGCGTCATAATAAAGAGTTGTGCGCGCTGAATGGAACGTTAGCGTTTCCCTCTCGCTTTCATTCATACGCAACTCTAAGCCAGTGTACACTGAGGCGTTTAGCTCTTTTTGCTTTAATTTAACAATTTGAAACTCACCCATACTGCCTTCGTTGGGCTCTTCAGTACATAGTCTTTCGCCGCCGTTGGCAACAGTGGGGATGTTGAGTCGATGTTTCACTCTGAGGTGTTTTATCATATTGGCTGTATTTGAAGAGAACTTAAAGGTCGTCTTACACAACCTGCAGTAAACAGTGGCATTGCTCTCATTTTTGATGTAGTACTTCCAGGCTATAGAGCAATATCGGGCCTGTGTTTTCACACTGATTTCTGGCTCCTCTTGCTTCTTGTTGGCCATATCAGGTCTGGAAACACGTTGAACGCTGCTAATAGCGCCTCCTATCGGTTTCAGTGAACCGAATGAGCCTCCCCCTTCGCTTTTGTTCATTGCAGGAGTTCCTCCAAAGTCGAGGAGGCCTGTGACTTGTACGTGAGAGCTGCCAACATGTTCAAGATGGCCAAGAACTGGAGTGGTACGACACCTAGCAACTCTTGCACCACAGTATGAGGGTGTTCAATAAGCATGTGTCATTTGTATTGCTGCTTTGTTCCCCTTTAAGCTGCAGGAGATGCCTTCTGCAAAGCTGCACGACTGCATTTGCAGGTGGAAAGCAAGCACAACGCAGCCGTAAACTTTCTTGATGCTGGCAATGCGTTCAAAAAGGCTGATCCTCAAGGTATAGCTCTTATTGTTACTTTTACATTATGAGCAATAAAAATCCCTCAGTATGTAGTGTCTGTAATTCAAAAGAAGGTATTCTATTATGGCTCTTCTGCAACTTTTCTATACAGAGGCTATAAGCTGTTTCTGTCAGGTCATTGACATCTACACAGGCATGGTGAGAAGAATTATAGAAAAGTCTTTAAGCATTCAAATACAATTCAACATAAATATGCAACTAAGCAAGTTTTTTTCCGTTTTATGGTAATACACTTTTCTGATTTGTGTTACAAATCTGTTTCCACAGGGACGTTTCAACATTGCAGCAAAACACCACATATCTATTGCTGAAATCTATGAATCTGAGTTACTGGACATAGATAAAGTAAGTGGGAAGTCATCTATTTACGTAAAGGTGCACATTTATCAATAAGTTGCTCAGATGAATCTCGACGGTAGGAGTATAAAATACACTACCGTTCAAATGTTTGGGGTCAGTAAGATATGAAATTAATATTTTTATTCAGAAAAGATGCATTAAATTGATAAAAAAGTAAAACCTTGTGTTTATAATGTTACAAAAGATTTCTATTTCAAATAAATACTCTTCTTTTTAAGTTTCTGTCAGAGTGCTGACAAAATTAGGGTTTCCAGAAAGCAGCACAACTGTTTTCAACATTGATAGTAATAAGAAATCTGCATATTAGATTAATTTCTGCAGGATCATATGATGCTGAAGACTGGTGTACTTAAATGTACTTAAGATACATTAAAATAGAAAACAGTTATTTTACATTGTAGTAATGTTTAAAATATGACAGATCCCAAACTTTTGAATAGTGCATTTTTTAATGCATCCAGTTGATACCATAATGACCAAAATAAGAACCCCTTCTGAAAGAAAGTGAAAGAAATATATTTGTTAATTTGCTATTATTTGTGCCCAGAATACTTATGTGTATTTGTTTACAGGCCATTGCTCATTATGAACATGCTGCAGATTATTACAAGGGAGAGGAGTCCACCAGGTACTCTACAGTAGTCTTTATATTAGAAGTGTTGTAGAACGGTTTAGGTTTGTATTGTAATTAAATGATTTCATTTAGTATTATTAAAATAAATATACTCTCTCTCGCTCTCTCTCTTTAGTGCAACCAACAAGTGTCTTCTCAAAGTGGCAACATATGCGGCTCAGATGGAGCAGTACCAGAAAGCCACTGAAATATTTGAGCAGGTCTGTGTGACTTGATCTTCTTTTGAAAACCTGTGTTCGTTTGTCTTATTCATCCTTCATGTTGATTGGCATGTTGTCTCTGCTCAGATTGGGACTTACTCCATGGACACTACCTTGTTGAAGTATGGTGCTAAGGACCATTTCTTCAAAGCAGCACTGTGTCACTTCTGTGTGGATATGCTCAACTGCAAGGTGACTGATTTACACTCTTCATGATCTGAAGATACTTACAATGACTAATATGTGACTTTCTGCTTTCTCGTTATTTAACCCTTGTTCTCTTCAATAGCTGGCTGTACAGAAGTATGAAGAAATGTATCCAGCCTTCTCAGATGCTAGAGAGTGCAAACTTCTTAAGGTTGGAGTCTTTCTTTCCAATACATTTAGTTACTTAAAGTTTCTTTTATGGAATAGAATTGTGATCTCAGATTCTGGGTCATCAACATCCATTGAGATTGAAGGTAGATGTATTGCCCAAATCCTTATCTATTAGGTTTCCATTGTCTCTATTTATTGTCCTATTGTTTTGTATTTTATACACTACCATTCAAAAGTTTGGAGTTGGTAAGATTTTTTAAATCGGAAATGCAGTTAAATATTGTGAAATATTATTATAATGTAAAATAACTGTTTTCTATTTTAATATATATTAAGCTCAATTTTCAGCAGCCATTACTTCAGTCTTCAGTGTTTCATGATCCTTCAGGAGTCATTATAATGCTGATTTGCTGCTCCAAAAACATTTCTTATTATGATCAATGTTGAAAACATTTGTGCTACTTAAAGGTGACATATTATGCCCCTTTTTACAATATGTAATATAAGTCTCTGGTGTCCCCAGAATGTCTGTGAAGTTTCAGCTCAAAATACTCCACAGATCATTTATTACATATTGCCTATTTTGAGTGGAAGCAGAAACAAGCTGTTTTTCGGGACTGTGTCTTTAAATGCAAATGAGCTGCTGCTCCCCGCCCCCTTTTCCAGAATATAGCTGCACCATTACAGCTGGGACCAGCTAAAAACATCTGTTTTGGTTCTGATTATCATGTTTATCGCGCTGAAATCATGCGTTTTATACCATATGAGTTTAAACTTCAGATATAAGGTTTTCTGAGTGCACACATCCGAAGCACACGGACAGAAAGCGGCCACCAGACAGCATGTGAGTACTAAACTAAGTTCTCATTCACACACAAGTTTACGTTAAAAACACACGAGTTACAAAAACAGTCGGTTATGTCTGTGAAGGTAAACCGCTTGTTTATTTTAGATCTGTGTGGCAGCAGCAATATACAGTAGCCTAAATAAATCCACTGCTCTCTTGTCTCCTCTGAGGCTGGGACTCTAAATAGTGTTCTGTGCTCGTCTGTGCAGCCAAAGACAGAACAGTTAGCATGTTTTGCTCAAACTTTTGCCATGGAATTAGAGCTGGCACACTGTTGTCGCTTGCGAAAACACAATGACAGCGCTGTGGGTGGAAACTTACAGATTAAGGGGCGGTAATATTATAATGAGATCCCTTTGCCACGTCACCAAGGGAGCGAAATCAGACGCACTCGTTTTCTCAGACACTTGCAGAAAAAGGCTTACCAAAACAAAGTTACTGGGTTAATCTTTTTCATGTTTCCTTGGTTGGTAGATGCACTGGGGACCTGATTATAGATAGCACTTAAAACCTGGAAAAGTCAGATTTTCATGATATGTCACCTTTAAGATTTGTATGGAAACCATTATAGTTTTTTTCAGTATTCTTTAATGAATAGAAAGATTTTTTTTGTCACAATGTGAGTCTTTACTGTTACTTAAGTATTAATTACTTTACATAAAAATCTTACCAACCCCAAATTTTTGAACAGTAGTGTACATAGAGTCCTTGAAAGTGATCAAACACAATTTAAGTTTCTGCATTTCACACTAAACAGAAACTTCTTGATGCACATGAAGAGCAGAATATTGATGCGTATGCTGATGCAGTAAGTTCCCTTAGTATATTGTGTCAGGTTTTACATAATTCATTGCACACATTTTAACTGTGGTAGTTCATTCGTGAATTACTCCATGCAAAGCTCTGGATTTATTTTATTTCATTAGGTAAGGGAATTTGACTCCATCACCAGGCTTGATCAGTGGCAGACCACCATGTTACTAAGAATCAAGAAGACCATTCAGGACGAGGAGAATGACCTTCGCTAAAGTGAAGTCATGATTCCAAGCTCATTCCCCATTCTCATGTTCTTCGTCTCACTTCACAGTGATTCCTTTCTTACCGTGTTTATTATTAATTCATATATGTGAAAATGAAGGTCACATGCACATTATACACATTATTGTCTTAAGAAGTTTTCTCCCAAGTCCTACTGTCTTCAAAGGAATTTAACCTTTATCCCAAAGAACACTGTGAAGTCTTCTAGAATGACACTCGGTAGAATTTATTTTACAAGCTTTGACCACAACATTCCTTTGTTGTAAATGTAACTCCTCGTAAATCTGATTATTTGATGTGTTACCATTTGCGTTCGTGCTTGTGCAGCTTCAGTAGTTGTTTTATTTATTATTCTTTTATTAATGGTTGTAAATTATCTTTTGATTTTCATTTGTTACTGACCAAGTCACAAGGCTTGTATGTGTCAATATTTATTAGTAGTATTTATTAGTAATGATAATTCTAGATTTATGCAAAATTCTATAACTGTGATGATCAGCTAGAATCAGCTGATACAGTACTAATTGCCATCGTGTTTTCCTTAATGGAGGAAATAATCAAGAACTAAATTACTTCAGTTAGATCTTATATGAAATTGGCTTATTTAAAAACGGATAATAAATTTAGCCTAAATTATTTAGATTTTTGTACCAACACATACATGTGTTGATGGTAATGTATTTTGCAGGACTCTAGGATGTGAGGATGTATCAGACCTCTTTCCACTCTGTCTGAAGGTGGCCTGGTTAACTGCAATTTGTTTATCATAAATAGAAAATGAAATGGGCTGTACTTGAGGAACCAGCTTGAAATGAAACTGGTTTTAGTTTTTCTTAAGTTCATATGAAGCTTAATATATTGATGTATTACACTACTCATAAAACATGCTCATAATTAAAAGTCAAACGGTTTGTTAGTTAAAAGGAACTTGAATGAATAGGCTTCTTATTTATTAAGTAATTAATTTTTGCAATTCAGTGCTTTACGTGTTGACAATTTCATCTACATATGTTCAGATGATTCAGATTATGACTAGTCATGAACCAATACAGGAACTTCAGCATGGAAAAAAGCATGGCAGAATAGGCTTAATGTAACAAAAAATGAAGTGTAACACATGGTATAATGTGAGGCAAGCAGTGGAAGCATGCATTAATTCATCAAAGCTGTTATGTTAAACTGATTTAAAAAGCTAATAAATTATTTGATTCCCTCAATTTTTGTTATTAATATTTCATCGACGTAGACATACATACATACAAAGACAGTCTTTAAATCGAAATGGTTTCTTTAAGGAACTGCACTTAAAAAAATGTAAGCATCTGACCATCAACACACCTTCTGAAGCAGGTTTATTTTGTCCATTTTAATCATCCTCCTCCTCATCTTCTTCCAGATCCTCTGTCTCTTCCAGGGCAGCTGTCTGCTCCTCCAGAGCAGCTTTCAAAGCCTGCTCTTCCTCCACACTGGGGTCCAGGGCCTCTGTAATTTCAGGCCCGCTGGGGTACTCATTTTGGGGCGGTGGAAGAATGGTTGGGGTGTAGGCCTCTCCGATATATTTCATCCCCCAACCAATGTATATATTTCCAAACTTCCTGAGAGGGAGCAGAGGAATGGTTTTACTCCGCCGAAAAAGTATCAGTTTGTAGAGATGGTTGGACGGACCGTACATTTTGAAAAGCAAGGTTCTTACCTGCCACTAGCATAAGCATAAGATCCAGGCCAGAGGTTAGAGCGCAGCACAGCGATGGAAAACTGAGGAATGAGGTTAGAGGAGATCATGGCACACCAAGGTAGGGTGTCATTAATCTCTGTGGACAGAACATATTCTGCATTACAGCTCAACATTTAAACTGTACTGGAGATATTTAATGTAAATGTTATGCAGTGTGACTGACTTGCATCCTCAGACAGAGGCGTCAGAAGAGGAGGCCCGACTTCAGGCTCCGGCTCATCAGATTCCTCCCCCCTCTCTTCATCCTCGGCATCTTCATCCACGTCATCAGCAGACTTCTTAGTTACATTTACCCACACACAGCGGCCCTAACATTCACACATGTATAGTGCTGTGTAAATGTCAAAAGCATGTTAATTTTTATTTTTTTTGCCGTTATTATGATAGGACAGAGTAGAGCTGGCAGGAAGCGACGTGGGAGAGAGAGGGGGGCGGGATCGGGAAAGGTCCTTGAGCCAGGATTCGAACTCGGGACACCCGTAGTGCAACGGCACTGCATGTCGACGCATTGCCCACAAGGCTATTGGTGCCAATGAGCATGTAAAATTTTTCACCAAAAAAATCATATTTTTTGCTTTAGTATGCCACCAGGAAATCAGTTTTCATTTCCAAAGATTCCTTTTGGCAATTAAGTGATAGTCGACACCTCATGTTGTCCCAAACCTGACTAATGTTGGTAAACAAACAGTTTCAGTTCCCTTTGACTTTCATTATACGACAATAAATACAATGGAAGTCAATGGGAACCAAAAATTTTCTGTTCCACAGAAGAAAAAAAAATTCATACAGGTTTGGAACAGCATGAGGGTGAATAAATTATGACATAATTTTCATTTTTGTACGGATTATCACTTGTAAAAAATCCAGTTAGATTTTTGTAGGCACAAGGAGTCAGACAACAGACGGTATGATCCTGATGGCATGATTGTGATTTCCTCCTGGCACACTGCATCAAAAGATATAAATAACCAATGACAATGACATACGCAGCCTTCGAAATGAGACACAGTTACCAAAACTTACTCAAGAACCACTTCAATGGACATTTTAGGGCAGATGAATTTCCAGCAGGCTGTCTGTTGTTTCTTACCTGTGTAAGTATATGCTGTACATGATGGACCCATAGATTCAGAGACTCAGCCATCTCATTTACATGGATGCCCTCAAAGTTAGGATTCTCCTCATAACTGTCTCGCAGTCCATCATCCTCCCCTTCATCCTCCCCAAACTGGTAGAATCCCAGAGGACTGACGTGCGTGCCCGCTGAGATCCGTGCGATCTGGGCACGCAGGTAGTTGGCCTCATTGCCAGGAAAGGGAGGATAACTTACAACAGGAGCATCAAGCCTGCCTGTGAAGAACCTGCGGATCTGCCGCGCCACTGTGATCTGAGCGGGGGTGACCATCGGCAGTCTGACCCACGGCATGCCGGGCTCATGACACACAAAATAAGTGTATTTGTTGACACCAGTGTGATTTTCTTCCTTTGGCACTGGTGGAGGTGGCTTGTATGTCGATTTGGGGGGAGGATCAGCCTGCAAGTAAAGTTCAATCATTTTTGTCAAGTTTAAATGCACATTTCTATTCATATTTTTTCCCTTTACTGCTGTTCAGCAAAATTTTTGTGGCCAAAATACAGTCATTTCAATAGAAATCCGTGGATTGAGGGTGAAAATGTTACCCACGCAGATTTAGCTCATGTTCAAGTTTGTCATGTGAATTCAATGCAAAACTTTGCAGGCAAAACGACTTTTCACTTTCAAAGCAAGCATCTTTCTGTTGCTCAACTCTGCAAATTCCTGTGAACTTGAAAATTAGCTAAATCTGCATAGGGAAATCTTTCACCCTAATGTCAAACTCCAGATTGCACAGATTCTTATTGAAATCAGAACAGCAGCAGAATTTCATCGTGCAACAGTAAATGTGACTGCACCTTTACTCCAGAAAGTATGATATTTAAAGCAGATTTGTGACCCTGTGGACCACAAAACCAGTCATAAGAGTCAGTTTTTTTAAATTGAGATTTATACATCATCTGAAAGCTGAATAAATAAGCTTTCCATTGATGTATGGTTTGTTAGGATAGGATATTTGGCCGAGATACAACTATTTGAAAATCTGGAATCTGAGGATGCAAACATATCAAAATACTGAGAAAATCGCCTTTAAAGTTGTCCAAATGAAGCTCGTAGCAATGCATATTACCAATCAAAAATTAAGTTTTGATACATTTACGGTAGGAAATTCACAAAATATCTTAATGGAACATGATCTTTACTTAATATCCTAATGTTTTTGGCATAAAAGACAAATCGATAATTTTGACCCATACATTGTTTTTTTTGGCTATTGCTAAAAATATACCCAAGCGACTTGGTCGTGGTCCAGGGTCACATTTGTATACTTCAGTTGCCATTTTGTGACTTACAGCTTCCACAAGTTCCGTTTCATCCTTGTCCTCCCGTGGCTCTTCCTCCCTCTCCTCATCCTCATGTGTTTCTGTCCCCTCCTCCTCCTCTCCTTCACCCTCTCTATATTCCCCCTCAGCCACCAGATAGTTGCTGTGCGTGCCGAAGATCTTGCCCCAGAATCGACAGCGCAGGAGACACTGTGAGTCCACCAGCTGTTTCAAAGCTAGAAAGACTCTATGCATCTCCTCTCTCCCCAGACCCACACCAGCTTGCTCAAAGAAGAACGCAAGTTCTGCAACATTCGGTAGAGGAGACTCCACCTGGAAATGATACACAATGTATTACAGAAACTGTTGTATTGAACTGCCCATAGAACCCACCACAATACTGGCCGTCTACAGTGGTTCTAAAGTAAAAGTATTTGAACTTTAAAGGGATAGTCCACCCAAAGATCTTTTAAGACTCTTGTCAATCTTTGAAACATAAATTAATATATTTTTAATGAAACTTGAGCGGTCTCTGTCCTTCCATTGAAAGTCCAGGTAACCAATACTTATAAGATCCAACATATGGTGTCGTAACTGAATCCATATGAAGCAAGCGGTTTAATCCAAGTCTTGTGAAGAGATATGATTACTCTATATGATTAACATTTAATTTAAGCTTTTATTTACATCGAAACAATGATTGACACATACATGGAACACATATCATAAACACAAAAGCTCAAGGTTTCCATGTTGACCATATGATGAAATCTATGTAAGTGTGTTTATATGTGAATAAAAACCTGAATTAAATCTGTGCACCATGTAAAGAAATTGTATCTCTTCACAAAACTTGGATTTAAACCACTCAGTTCATATGGATTAATTTATGACCTTTTTGGATTTTCTATGTTTTGGTTACCTGGACTTTCTAATTGGAGGGACAAAAACCTCTCAGGTTTCATTAAAACATCTTCATTTGTGTTTCAAAGAGTGGCCAAAGTCTTATGGGTTTGGAACACATGAGGGTGAGTAGATGATGACTGAATTTTTACTGTTGGATGAACCATCCCTTTAGGTCACTCCAAAATTTCTGAATGTGATAGCACAAGTTAAAGAAACATCAAATCAAGTTGCGTTTACTTTAAAAAAAGATAGCACAAGCACCCATTCAAGTATTTCACACACACACACACACACAAAAATAAAAGTTTGTTAGGTTGTAACTGCTAAAAAATAAAAATGCTGTACAAAAAGCATTACATGGGCCTCCCAGGAGCAAGACCAACATACTCTCTTACCAGATCTTCCTCATGATCCCCTTCATCACCTGCCGCGCGCGTAAAGAGCGCCTTCTGTTGCTCGGCCAGTAACACAGCCGCGGATGAGGACGGACTGTCACGCAGGGTGTCCTGTTTCTCCTGAAGGATGCTTCCTTTCAGCTCGCGACTCATGTCTTCTATCACATCGACTGCGTTCTCTGGACGCTCATCCATAACTTTAGTCAACAGTCGCAAGAGGTGGTCATAGCTGGACGAAGAGGTTCAGGAGCATCAGCAACCAACACGTGTCAGCCATGACCAATGTTTACTGAACACTACCGCTACTGGATGGATTCCTTTAAGGTAATTAAGGCATGCGTAAAATTAACGAAGCTAGATTGAATACATTAACTGCAAACATAAATGCGAGCTCGGGGCATGTTGTCACACGGTGTCTCAACATATGCCTGTATCATAACTTTTTATATTGGCAATAATGGTGGAAATGTGTTTCTAACTTCCAATAAATGTCATCTGTTAAGGTATATAACGGTGCTAAAATACTAAATTAATAATAAGAATACCCTAAAAAAAAAATTATGCTAGGACTGGAATAATGTATGAAGCTAATGTGATGATGTACTTACAGATTGAGGTTTGTTTTAGTGCTGTTCTTCGTCATGAAAGCTTTAAAACGCGCCGCGGCCTGCAGTCTCGCATTATTCGACGCTTCCTCGGTGATCTCCATTTTAGTAAAACTTACAAACTGTCGCCGACTAATTAAAACCGTATATTTGTTCAGTTTATTCTTATGGCAAATCTCGATTAACATCAAGCCGGCTTAGCAAAGACATTAGCGCATTTCCCGCAGCTCACTTCCGTTGCTATGGATTCTGCAGTGTAACTACAACAAACTTGTTGCCTGGCAGCGTCTTTATTCTGATTGGCCGAATGCGGTCAAAATTAACAATCACGAGAGACTAAAGTACAGAGACCAATGATTTGTTTCTCATATTTACTGGTTGGAGATGGCATTTTATTCTAGAAATGAAAACATTGTGGCACATTCAAAATCAATTTATTTTCAAACTAATTTGCACAATTCGTAACCTCTAAGAAATAAACCAAAATATTCCATTTCATTTTTACTTCTAACTTACAGATACATAGTACACTGAACAAAGCAGTATAGAAAGAGACATCTTTTCAATGTCAGTGCTTCCATTCAGTCTTATTTCAAATGGCATCAGTCCACACTGCTTTCTCCTGCTTCTGGAACAACATCCTCGGACTCATCTTTGGGTTGGTCAGCCACATCCACAGGCATCGCAGCCGACTCTTCCATGGGTTCATCGGTCTTCTCTGAAATGGAGTTGGAGTGTGATGCCTCCTCAGACACCTCCACCTGCTGAAGGTTAAAGTCAATGGTCAGCCAGTGCTATTCACTCTTGTACTGGTCTGCATGGGTGCCATGAATGATGATGATTAAAATGTTTTACCTGTGATGCGGCTTCAGACGTGACCTCCAGAGCAGCATGGTCTGTCTCTTCCCGCTCCATGGGTTCTTCTACTTCTTCCCTCCTGGGGATCTGTTGTGGTGGTGGTGGTTCAGTAAACTCTACCGGTGTCGGGGCTGGAGGTTCTGCTTGTGATACTGGTGCAGGCATTGATATATGCTTTGGTACTGGCACCTTAATGAACAAAAGTGGACAAGACAGACAGTATTTAATTGGTGGATTATCCAAAGTCATGAACATTAAACTCATTTCTGTAATGTTCATGGTATTGTGTAGAGATCGACCAATATAATAACCGGTTTATGTGGCTGATAACTAATACTTTCGAAAATTGATATTTAATTAGAATGTGATAACTTCAGTGTAAATGAAAGACTTTCTGGTGACATATGCTAGACTTCTCCAATCATTTAGTCTGCCTAAACCTACCCCTTCATAATCGACGGCAAGCTTGCATTCAGCTTTTTGCATTCAACAATCTCCAAATGCAAATCAACAACCCATGAGTAGAATCATAAGACCAACCTACATTTTGTTTCGATAATCTGTTACACTCGGATATACATCGCAAAACAGAACAAAAGATCCGTCCATGCTTCCGTTTCATTGCAACATACCTCTCTCTCTTCTATTATTTCTGGATGATGAAGTTCAGGTTGTGGTTCAGGTTCCGGCTTCCTGCTGTTGGCCTCCAGAACAGCCATTATAGACACTGGAATGTGGGCTTGCTACAGAAACAATAAAACAACACGTTTAAATCAAAATGATTTAGAAGTGAAAATGTATAACAGGTTTAATAAGTTTTCTCTTCTAAAACACTTCACACAAACTACTTCCACTTCCTACTATTCATAACTATGTTTTGGAACAGTATTATGATACAATTAAAAAAATATTTTGCATATTGTGCATGTGTTTCATGTATCATCTAAAATAATAATAATATACATAAGTATTAATGCATAACATTTAGAAATATTATATTAATAAATATTATTTAATTAATACATTTTGCAACTTATTTTTTTGTTGTTGTTTTCAATTTAATTTTAGTTTAAGTTTATAATTTTATGTTTTTGTTAACATTAACATGTATAAATGAATACTGTAATATACTATAATATTAATTAGGGCTGCACGATTAATCGCATGCGATATTTAACGCGCATCTTGTCAGAAAGCCGGTTCTGTAATCAGCAGTAAATCTCCATCACCTGTGTGCTTTCACATTGAGCAGCATTAACTACACAGAGCCGTTGTTCACTGATGAGCTGCGCAAAATATCGCGCGAATATGAACGTGGTTTTGCGCAGCTCGTCAGTGAACAACGGCTCTGTGTAGTTAATGCTGCTCAATGTGAAAGCACACAGGTGATGGAGATTTACTGCTGATTACAGAACCGGCTTTCTGACAAGATGCGCGTTAAATATCGCATGCGATTAATCGTGCAGCCCTAATATTAATACATATTAATATTTTAAATCAGCTTTATTTTTATATTTTCAATTTTCAATCATTTTTTAAAAAAGTTTTAGTCATATGTGCTTGTGACATTTCTTTTTCATATTTCTATTTGACTTTGAATTGTTTGTAATTTTAATATTTTAAAACTTATTTTATTAACATTTCACATTTTCATGAATATTTAGACTTTATTCCAGCTTAATTTGAATGAATTTCAACAATGTTTTATGTTTTAATAGTTTTAGTTAACGATAACACCCGTGTACACAGTATATACTGATGACAGGTCTCACTGACCATTCATTTCCCAGATAACACCTATTCAGGATAAAACCTGCAACCTTTGTGATACGCACTTGGTGAGGGGTGAAGGAGTGAACGTGCTGTAGGAGGGGCTCCCTCATCTCCGGGCAGCGCTCAAACACACTAGCCAGTTGTGGTGGAGGCAGCTGGAGGAGAACGTTGTAGGACTGGGGTTTGGTGCGCTGGCAGCACTTTACAAAGCCCTCCCACACTTTAGGATATTTCCACACCTGCACGATCAATCAACAGTCAATCAGCAAACATTATCCTGAGAGATGAGTATGATGAGATTATGTATGAGAACTACACCGATTAGGAGCATAAAGGGTTCGGTCCATTGACCTGTTTGAGGATGAGTCGGGCTAGAACGTTCATGACGAAACCAGCCAGGCGAGGGTACATCGTGAGGGACTGGATGACCGTACGCATCAGCAGTATAGGGAGAGGGGTCTGCTCCATCAACTGCTGCATCACCACGGCCAGCACCTCGGACGTGTACACATTCTTCTCCCCAAAACACAGGTTAGTGGCTACAGAGGGAAAATGAACAAAGTGGAAAGTGAGAAAAAAAACATTAAAGAGGGTGAGAAGAAAAGCAAAAGGGTGAATGAAAGAATTCTCACTACATTGGAGCCATTTAAGGGGGCATTATCTTTTTAAATTTTGATTATTAATATTAATATTATTATAATTTCACAAACTACACTAAATTCAACTAATTAAACTAGAGCTCACCAACATATGTTGGGGCTATTGATCAATTAAAAAAAAAAAAACGGATTAAATCAGGTTTCTGTACACTAAAATTTGTATAATTGTATATAATTTGTAGATCATCAATATATTTTCAGATTGGTTTTATTTTATTTTTATCATTTATTAACAATTACAGAATATTAAAAATATATTATAACAACTGCTTTTCAAGTGTTTTATATGCATGTATACACTGGTGTTCAAAGTTTGGGATCGGAAGTTAGCCATTCAAAAGCTGAATTTTCATCAGCCATTTCTCCAGTCTTCAGTGTCACATGATGCTTTAGAAATGGTGTTGAAAATGGTGAGAAACGGAAGCATTTAACTAATTTTGCTGAAACAAAAAAAATGTAAAAGGTTGGATTTACGTGCAGGGGTGGTGGATTTATGTGAGATGATACCTTTGATGATTGACTTCATGTCACACTTGGAAGAGTCAATGTTGTGTAAGGCGATGAGGAGCTCTCCAGGAGTGAGCGGAGATATGGAGGAACTGCCCTCACCTACAGAACAGACAAACCCTTAAGTTCACTAGAATTCTACTGATCTAGAGCAAAACATGAGATTGAAATGGCACCATTCTGAAAAGAAATAGAAAATGAAAGCCACCTAATTTTTGTCAACATCATCACATGCACAAGAAAATAAGCAGGTATTACTATGTTGAGTGCCCAGCAGTCTGTTGAACACCTCCTTCACCACAATAGGATTGAGTTTGATGAGTTTGGGTAGAGCCTGGATCACCTCGTTCTGTTCAACACAATCAAGGCACCATTATGAATGCGGTTTAAATTATTAAAATGATTAACAATTAACGCTACGCTAATATCTTTTCCCCACAGGCAGGATGCTTGCACATTGCAAGCTCCGTCTGGCTACTTGGTTTTGATCCCGTCAGAAACCCACTTGTCTCTGATTAAGGAACACAGGTGTAAATGCGTTGTATCGAGAAGATAGATGCTCACATAAAAAATACTTATACCAAATGTTTTAACTAGTAAATGTATTACTTATTGTGAAAAATTAATACACAAATAAAATTGTGGAAAGATGTGGAAATAAAAACGAGGAAAAATAAACTGACATCTCTCATTCAAACAGAGAGAGTGCAGATTTGGTATTGACAATGACAGAAACACCACCAAACATACTACATACAGGCACAGCTAAATGCGACATTTATTATAATGGGTTTATGTGAATATTGTTTTAAGTTCACTTCAATTAAAAGTTACTGAAATATTTGTAATATTTTGTAATCTTAATAAATGACAAATAAAAACAACCTGATTTTTTGCAGCTCAGGCCTGGCTTTCAATTATACTGTAATGTTGACTGGTTAGAATTATTCCTTTTATCCCCAGAAAGTAAAAAAAAACTGGCCTTTATTAACAGTACTTAAAAGATACCATTATTTGTACTACCAATATTTGTATTATTACAAATGTACCAATATTTGTACTTCTTAGTAAAAGATAGCATTAAAGGGGTCATATGACGTTGCTAAAAAAGAACATTATTTTGTGTATTTGGTATAATGAAATGTGTTTATGCAGTTTAAGGTTTAAAAAACACATTTTCCACATACTGTACATTATTGTTTCTCCTCTATGCCCCGCCTTTCTGAAACGCGTCGATTTTTACAAAGCTCATCGGTCTGAAAAGCGAGGTGTACGCTGATTGGCCAGCTATCCAGTGCGTTGTGATTGGCCGAATACCTCAAGCGTGTGACGGAAATGTTACGCCCCTACCATATTGTGATGCCGTGTACCGGCGCGACGAGACAAAACCAATAAAACCCATTACAAACGAGGCATTTGTTGCATCCAGTGGGGACATAATTACGGATTATAATGACTTATACTGTCTTTTTACGCGTTGCATCGTGCCGCGTAAACATAAAACCATGTCTGCATTGTTCAACACAACAAGCGCTACTCTACACTGCTCAAAACTTGCGTTTGAATCATCAGTGGCAAATTCTTTAAATATAAAAAACGTACTTACAGGCTGTGAGTCAGAAGCGCCAGACTGTCCTTGCAAAGTTGGAACTGCCCCA